ATATATATATATATATATATATATATATATTAATATAAAAATTAGGAATATCGATCGTTATCTATATAGTAAATATTTCTTTTATAAAAAAAAAATACTCTAACAATAGTTTGAGCCAATAGTAATGTTAAACTAATATAATATTCTAATAATAGATAATAAAAAAACAGTAATTCCAATAGTAATTTAGAAAGGTGAGGAAAAGTGCAAAAGTTTTGTCCGGATTATCTTTAATAAAAAATTATGCTTGGAATCAAAGTATCTATTTCTCCCTCCATTGGTGGCTTTTTGTGGCCCTCTAAACCCATAATGATACTCAGAAAATGCACAATTGTTTACTCAAGCTTGCCATTTTCCCTCAGGAGGTATGAAGATCAAGCTTAGTCAAAACGTATTGACAAAATTAATTCTCTCATCATAGTCATCGGAATTTTATATTATGGGAGCACACTTAGACATCAGGCACACAATTAATCTAATCTGAAAAGAAAATACAACCATTGTTGGTAATGAATTAATTTCTTAAAATAGTAAATTTAGTTTATATGTTATTGGTTTACATAACAAAAAAAATGTTAATTTTTCTTAAATGAAGTCATATACTTGAGTTGTAGGGTAACAAGAAAGTGGAAGATATATGTTTTTATTGACTTTACTTGGCTGAAATTTTAGTTTGTTAAGAAATAATACAATTTCATTACTTATGCTTAATCCTTCTCTATGTATAGATGGTTATATTTGTTAGTTTCTTTCCATGATTTTTTAAAAATTGTTTATTGTTACTATCTTTTCAAATATTTGTTTATTTATTTATTTTTCTCTCAAAATAATATGAAACAATTACTCTAGGATTGGACATACTAAATAATACTAGGAAAAAAAATTAAAATTTCCTTTATGCCCGGATTTTAGATAACCATCAAATCATCACACTCAAGAAGACGATGAATTTAAATTTTCCTTTAATGAATGTACTTCTCAATTCTCAAGGTTATGTATAAACAAAATTAATCTTTTTATAGAGGTAACCCTCAAATTCACATTTAAAGCAACGGAGAATTAACTTATCTTTTCTTTAATTATAATATTTAAATATTTTTAATCTCACTAAATTTAACGTAAATTTATTTTTAATTTATCAAATTAATTTTTTTATCTTGTAATTTTAAAAAAAATATTTTAATCTTAATATTTAATTTTTGTTAAAAAAATTATTAAATACTATTACATAAAATTATTTAATATTATCTTATTAGTGAAAAATATTACATTAAACTAAATGATATTGTATAATTGTATTAATTTATTATTTTTAGATATATTATTGATAATTTGAAGGATTAAAATAAGATTATTAAAAATTATAAAATTAAAAATAATAATCTTAAATTTGAGGAAAAAATAAATTTATTCAAAATTAATAAGATTAGAAATATATTTAAATTTAATTAAAAAATACAATTTTATTTGAATAACAACGTCCTGTACTTTTTAAAAAAAAATAAAGTTTTTAAAATTTTGTTTCCATCTTGATTTTCTAAACATTATAATTAATTTTGGGATATGGCCAAAAACCAAAACCCAAAGCAAATTGAATTAGCATGTGAAGGGGAAATATAGTAGCATGGTGCCAAGTTTCAAGATTTGCATAAGATTTTTCCTTTTCACACAAATAGGACAGTTTGGTGAGCAGACATGACATCAGAGGAAGCCTAGATTTGGTGCTTAGCTCCCTCTGTTGGATTGAGGTTGACCCTTCCCTTCCCCTTATTCTCTATTTCTCTCTCTCTCTCTTTACTTTACCTTTCTTCCTTATTCATCACAATTTTTGTTTTTTTTAATATTTTTTTTAACCATCCATCCATTAACACCATACCTGTTCATTTCACATTTGCTTTCCCTTTACTGTTTCTCTCTCTCTCTCTTTCTCTGGTTTCCTTCATTGCAAACCAAGCTTCCTTTCCAGCTTGTTCTGGTCCTGCCCTCAGACACAATGCTACCCACCAACCATTTTACCACATTTACTCTTTCTCTTCTCTAAAATTAGTAAAATTCTCCCATTTTCTCTCTCTCCCTCTGCGTTTTTCCCATCAAAATAAGATTTTTGTGTGGCATTCCCTTCCATTTTCTTTTTCTGTGATTATTTTTTCTTCCTTTTTCTATTTTTGTTCAAGTGTGGCCCACTTGTTACCTACTGGTGTGCCACTACATCTTTTGCAGCATCTGGATTTTGCTGTAGGGTATGTGTGTTGCTGAGCCTCAGGTATTCTTGTACCTAGCTTTGCACATTGAGTCTCTTGTCGGTTCAAAATGAGATGTGAAACTTGTTGCTTCTTTGGGTAGAAGATCCAGGAGTCTAGCTTCCTTGGATCACCACAAAGGTAAATGCTTTCTCTTTCTCAATCACTTTTTGGATTGTAAACATTTCTCTTTCTCTTTTGTTTGCTTGGATCATAAGTGATGCTTTCCCGGTTTCCTTTTCTTTGCATTAGAAATTGTTGCGATGATCAACAACTCCTTTTACTTTTATACTTTACCATTGAATTGTGAGTTCACTCAATATGCCTTTTTGATTGTATTGGTTTCGAGGCTGCTGAATTATGTATGCTTCTTCTTGTACTATTTGGATTCTATTTTATTGTATGTCATTTGCCAATTAAGCCTGAGATGAGAGTCTGTAATCTTCAAATTTAGCTTACAGGAAACTTTGTAGTCCGAGATTATCTCATATCATGATAAAGGTGCAATTAGTGATTTGTTGAACTCTGGTTTTTGTTTTTGTTTATGGCGTAATTGCAAGAACTGAAATGTTGGCTGTAAATTAGAATGCTCAGATGTGTGTTTCAAAGAATTGAGTAAAAGGAGTACTTAACTGAATTCGTGTACTCGGGTGGGAATGTCCTGGTTCTACCAGCTGAAGAACTTGCGGTAACGATATTGATTGGCTTGGTGCAAACAATTATGTCATCCAACAGTTCTTTGAATGTTGAATTGTCAAAGAAGACGTCTTTTTTGGGTTTGAAACGATGGGTTTTGCTAGGGATAGGTGTTGGTGCATTTATAGTGCTGATTCTTTGTATATTATCCGTATGGGTGATGTTTCGGAGAAAGTCTAGGAGATCTCTGGAGAAGCATTCTATATCCCAAATACCGAATGTCTCAAAAGATATTGATGTTGACAAAGTTGGAGTGCAGAGTTCTCATGTTCAACCAGAAAATGTGCTTATTCCTGTTCATGACAAGGCAAGTGATTACAATTCAGATAACATGTCGCTTCATTTGGGAAAGAGAAAATCCGGTGATCCTGATAATATCAGTCAGTGCAGCTCAATTTATCATCATGAGAGAGGACTTAGTTCATTGTCGGCGGAAGAAGGAAGTTCTGGGAATGCTAAGAAGCAATCTATATCATCTCATGGAGCGCTGGCAACTGCCTCTCCTTTAGTTGGCTTGCCAGAGTTTTCTCATCTTGGGTGGGGCCACTGGTTTACACTTAGGGATCTGGAAATGGCAACCAATCGTTTCTCAACTGAGAACATTATTGGTGAGGGTGGATATGGGATTGTGTACAAGGGCAGACTGGTTAATGAAACTGAGGTTGCAGTGAAGAAGCTTCTTAACAACTTGTAAGGATATTTATTTTGTCATTGCTGTACTCTTTAATTTTTTTTTTCTGGCACTTTCTTACACTATATGTAAACAATGGCTTCTTTTTAATCTTGTTATTTAATTGAGTTCTACATTGAGTTCACAGGGGACAAGCTGAGAAAGAATTCAGGGTTGAAGTCGAGGCTATAGGACATGTTAGACATAAGCATCTTGTGCGCCTTCTTGGATATTGTGTAGAAGGAGTTCACAGGTAAACTTTTTCTTTGTTTTTCAACAAAAGTATCCACTCCATGTTATATGCACACTCTCACAAGTCCATTCTCAATAATAGGGCAAGCTTTGTGTTTAGATAGTACATCTTGGCACTTGTTAGGATTGGCTTGTATCCCTCTTTTAGAGAGCATAAAGTCCAAAAATTTGCCTCCAACAACTCCAAAAGTTCATTTGGCCAAGTTCAAATGCATTTGATGGTTCCTAATTTCTCCAAATATTTCCTCGAGGTTGTTTGGATGTGCAGTAATGGAGCAGAATTTTACTACCATGTTGTCGACATATACTTCCATTCAAGTCCCGACCTGTTTCTTGAAAATCTTATCCATTAGCCATTGATATGTAGCCCCTACATTTTTAAGGTCGAATGGCATGACCTTGTAAGATATATTGGTCGACTCTGTAATGAAGAAAATTTTGTCCTCATCCGGAGGGTACATGGGAATCTGATTATATCTTGAATAAGCATGAGGATGCTAAGGATTTAGTGTCTTATTGCCTCATCCACTAGTGCATCAATGTGTGGCAGGCGGTAAGCGTCCTTTGAGCAAGCCCTGTTCAAGTCTGTGTAATTAGTGCACATTCGCCACTTACCATTTGCCTTTTTCACCATAACCATGTGGTGTAACGAACCTCCTTGATGAATCCTGCTTTAAGTAGCTTTGTTGTTTCTTCTTTCACTACTTGGGCCTGATCACCCCCTATTTTTCTTTTCTTTTAGATGATAGGTTTGACATCTCGACATATGAAAAGTCGATGATAATGAAAGTATGGATCAATCCGGGCATGTCCGTCTTGGTCCATGCAAAGAGGTCGGCATTTCGGGTTAAAACTTCCTTGATGGTCTCATATTCGGCTGTTGTCAATTGGGAGCCTAAGTGGGTGACTTGTTATTTTGTCTCTCCCAAGTTGACATTGGCGTCATTTGAGTGTTTAGGTAACGGTTGTAACCTTAAACTCGCAAAATAACATTCAATGGCTATTTTCTTGTCGACATGCAGTGTGACTACCCCCAGATTTTGATGGGAACTTGATGGTCAAATGGGGGGTTGACACAATTACATGCAACTTGTTCAATGAGGGTCGCCCAAGTAAGATGTTATAGGAGGTATTGGCATGCACCATCATGTACCATACCTTGATGTGTCGTTCTTCTTGTCTTGACCCGAAATAGGTATAGTGATTGATGGTTCCTCTAGTGTCTACCCTTTCTCCCGAGAACCCAATAAGAGGTTCATGATATGACATCAATTCCTACTCGGGAATATCAAGTTGTTCAAATGTTTTCCAATATACTCTGTTGAACTTAATACTGATCACAATGGGATCATCTTGCATCGAGTCAACCCCTTGGAAGTCCCTATTGGTGAACGTGATGGGTGGCATGGTGACTAGATCCACTTGGGATACCATGTTTATGAATATGATGGCTCGTAGATGTCTCTTTTGGGTTGAGGAGGTTCCTCCCCCTACAAATCCTCCTACAATAGTGTTGATTATCCTTCTCAGCTGGTCATTACGCCAATGATCATCTTGTCGCTCATGTGATCTACTACGTTCCCTCTACCTGAATGTTGCTAGTCCTCTGTCTTGTTTGTCCCGGGGTTAAGCTCTCAAGGTCAAATGATGGTCTTTGTATGGTTTTGCTCGGGGTTTGTACGAAGCTCTAGAGATGCCCCATTTTTACTAAGTCCTCGATGCGATCCCTGAGGGTTTTTCACTCCTCGATATTATGACTTTTGTTTCTATGGAACTAACAAGTCTTCGTTCTATCTACCCAGGGTGGGGTCATTGCATACCGCGATACTGTTAGGATTTCATGGCAAGAGCTTATTTAACACCTTGGCTCGACTGGCATTGAGCAGAGTGTAGTGAGTGTACCTGGGTCCTCAGGTTACCTTATCACGATCTAAAGTATCATTCAAATGGATTCTGCTCGGGTGTTCTTTTTCTACTTCTCTTTTGTTAGAGGCTTGTTTGGGTCATGTATGATTTTGAAATTTGAGTAGTTCCTCCATATGCATGTATTTGGTGGATCTCTGGGTAAGTAATCCAAATCAAGTGGTGGCTCTTTACATATGTTCACAAAAGGCCTGGGCCGTATTGCCATGGTGAGATGGTGCATGGCCACTATGGGATCCAGGTCTCGGATGGCTAGTGTCATCTTTCCAAATTGTTCCATGAAAGCCCTTAAGGGCTCTTTCTTTTGTTGGAGGATGTTAACTAGGGCTATGGAAGTGAGCTTGTAAGGTTGACTTGTAGCATATTGGATGCTGAAGCGGGCTAATAGGGTCGTGAAGGAATCAATCAATCCTGGAGGAAGTTTGGTGAACCAGCTTAGTGCGGGCCCTCTCAAGGATGTAGGGAATACTTTGCACAAGATAGTTTCCTCGTCTGTATACAGGCTAACTTGGGTGATGAAGGTATCAAGGTGCTCATGTGGGTCAGTTGTTCCATCATACCGATCTAAAGCCAAGTTTTTTTAATTAAAAGATAGGTGAGTGTTTGTTGTTTCTTGGGTGAAAGGCATTCTTCCTTGATCAAGTATGGTCATTGCGTCTGTAGTGGTTGATAAGAGAGTTTGGGCTCCTTGTACCACCTCGAAGACTTGCCCTAGTCATGCGAATCTCGAGTAGGGGGAATGCTCTAAGAGGGCTGCCATGAACGATTGTCACTTTTGAGTTTGGCATTTTCTTTCCTTAGGACGAACAACTCATGGGCGTCCTTTTCCCGTAGCCTCCGGAGTTCGATCATTTCTACCCTCAGTTGTTTCATTGTTGAGGATGGGTCGGCCGAATGAGGCTGATCCTCATAGGACTCTTCCATTTCTTCCTTTACTACCTAGTTCCTTTATTGTCTTAATTCTTATGGCATCCTTAGGTTAAGGATGGTGGTGGTCTCTTGTTGGATTTTTGTTGCTACCATCTTAACTTAGAGGGTTGAAAACTATTTAGGCTTCGACCCCACGATGGGTGCTAAAATGTTCCTGTGAGAAACACTTCCTTGTTGGACTCCTCCTTAATGCTCGATCTTCTCTAAATTCATAGGTTATAGTTGCTCGAATCCTCTTTTAGAATGGTGGGGAGGGTACCTGCAAAGGTACTCCGACGCTCAAGTAAATATTTGGTTCAAAGCAATATATACTGTAGTATTAAATAATCATACCTGCCTTTTCCTGTCCCATCAACTTTATATTTATAGTGACGTATTTGGACCTAATGAGCTTTTTGTATTAAGATGTAGGTGATAATAGGATTATGTCTTAATCTAGGGCAATGTGGGTAATTATCACTTAATCATTATTAGGATGTTAGTCCTAATAGTAAGGCGGTCAATCTTCTCCTTGACCGAATACATCCTCGGATGGCCGAGGGGTTTGGGGTGCTTGGTTTACATGATGGCCGAAAGGGTATTCGGTTTATATGATGACTAAGGGGTATTCGGCTTATATGATCGCCGAAGGGGGTGTTCGGTTCACATAATGGCCGAGTGATTCTTCATGGCTAGTTAATCTTAATAAATAGTTATGTAGTGTTTGTCGGGGTGAGGGTACTTGTCCTAGATAGTGGCCGAGTGATTTTCTCATTTTCTATCCCAATACAAATAATAAATCGAGATTATAAAAACAATTTATCTTTAATTTAAAAGCTATTAATTGTTCATTATTATACTGGATGTACCCCTTAAGTGGTGGAATACTCATATCACTTTCCACAACAAATAAAGAACCAAATATGTAGGCACACTCACCAATGCCTACTTAAGGACCTACCATCATAGTTTGACCCTTAGAAGACTAAGTACCCATGATGCAAATATAAAGATCAGGAAATACACCATTTGGCCACTATAAAAGTTAAACCACCCTTCGACTACATGATGGACCAAGTGCATGCCAATATGCTACAAATGTTTGATAGGAACACACTATCCATTTAATCCATAGAGGAATTGAACACCTGTTAGTCACCAACAAAGTCAAACAACTTTGGATATATTCCAAGGGTTAAGAAGACACACCCCTCGATTCTTATAGGAATCGAGACCCTTTTGTCTGCCAAGGAAGTTGAATACCTTCCAACACATCAATGGAATAAAGCAACCTATCATTTTATGTCATCAAGACACCTAGATTAGGATAAACACATTCCTATTCCTATAAATAAAGGGTAAGTCAAATATTTATAGCTGTGACACCCTTACTACTCCAACACACATATTGTAATAATGAAAACTTACAAATAAATCTTTCAATTTCGGTAAAAGGGTTCACATGAGAAACTTCAAAATTGTTCTTTAATAACCACAATAATAAAAATTTAGAAAATGAAACACAAGAGTTTACAAATTGTTTTCAAAATAATATTTTACACTTCCAAATCCATATAAAGATCTATGTCCTAAAAATCCTCTGCCCCGATATCACAATATCAGAGCATACCTACAATTCAAATGTTGGCATTCTAGATGCCACTCATAGCCGAATCTTCCTCACCTAAAACATCCACAATTTGTACGGTAAGAAAAGAAAGCATTTATATGTAAAGCACATACAAACACACAACAACGTAATCTCATTACATAATAAAATATTTAGAAGCATTTCTATATACCATAACTCTATCAATCATGCATCATTTTCACATCATAATTCGCAATCACACCCATTCATCTCAAATATTTCAATTAACATTATCATTTTCATATTCATAATTCACACAAATCTGACAATTAACACTATGCCAAGTCCACGCCACAACTGACATAAGTGGCACGGGTTAATTGCCTCACTCATCCCACACCATGTCAGGGTCACGCCCTCCCTGTAGCATCACTTACCCAGGGGTCGTGCCATCCCTGGTCATTGATGTGAGGAACCACAATCACATCACAATCCACACAATCTCTTACAATTAACCCTATGTCAGGACTGCCACATTTGACATAAGTGATACGTGTTAACTGTCTTACTAATGCCATCCCTAGTCATTAGTGTGAGGAACCACAATCATAATCATATTCACATTCGTCACATCTCA